TAAGTTGTGGGTCGGGTTTGGATTGCCTAAGGGCTAGGCTTGGGTCTGACCCAAAAAATAAAAAAGCCCAACTTCTTGCACCCGAGCCCAGTTCGAGGACCAAAAATCCAAGCCCAACCCATGTAAAATTTAGTGTTGGGCTTCTTCGGGCTTGGGCTAGGGTTGCCCTAGAAAAACCCCTAATGTTAGAGAATTGACAATTGGGCAGGCCTAGCTTTTATTTGGCTTCAGGGCTAGACAATGAGGACGGGTCAGTCCATCCCCCAAAGGCCCAAACCTGATATATTGACATCCTAATATCTGATGTATATAGTTTTTTACAAAAAAAATAACAAAGATTAGGCCAAACAAAATCAGAATGGGCTATTCCAATTTCAACTGTTTGGTTGGGCAGAATTGGAATCCAATTCCCATTCTTGTTGGAATGGAATTCCCACATTTGAGGGAATGGCCATTTCTTGCCCTCGATTGGAATGAAATCCCATTTTTGCTGATTCCAAATCTCATTTTCATTTTTATTTAAACCAAAATATTATGGGAATAAACCATTCTGATTTCAATTCTGAAAGACTTTGATTCCGATTTCGATTCTGATTTTGACTACGAACCAAACAGATCCTTAGCTTATTGTCAAAATCAGTGATGTTTGAAAAAAATGTTCAAATCGGTTAGTGTAAAAAGCAAAGATTTTTCTAGACAAAATTACCCTTTCTCTTTCATTCCTTTTTATCCACAAAAAAAGAACAGATTTTTTTTCGTAGAAATAGGAGGAGCTACACAAGATGGTAACTTGGCTCCAAGCATTACAAAAACAAATAGAACTTAAGACTCTAGGGATAAAAGGAGGGCAAAAACTGAAAATGCTGAGAGGAAAAGAAAGAACTAACAGCTTTCATGTCTCTAAACCGAAGCGGCAAAACGACTAGGGCCAAGTCAACTCTTCTGTTTGGTGTTATTGGCAAATAAGAACAAGAAGGAAATGAGAGAAAAACAAAGCAACTTGTTTTCTGCAGATGTTCTAGTTTCCTTTTGATCATTATTGTTCTATGAGCAAAGACGACCCTGTTTCGGTTCAATGGTGGTGATTTGAGTTTCAGGATGGGGAAATGGGAAAGATATAAAAAAAAAAAAAAAAAAAAAAACCTTAACTGCATTTTGTAAATTACCCCAACGTCAATGCGGGACAGTTGAGTCTTTTGCTCAAGGAGCAAAGAAAAACTCCTGCCCAAGCACAAGAACCGTCCTCCACCACTGGAGTGTGGGACAATTACACAAACGCCATCCATCTGAAAGGCTGTCTTTCATCAGTGGACAAAAGAAACGGAAAAAACGGGCAAGTTTGTCCAAAAAAGAATTTTGTTTCTTAGGCTCCGTTTGGAACATATTTGCACTCTACAAATATACCTTCTCCATTTCAGGCCGGTGCAAAGTGGGTTCGGATTTCCATGCCCACTTTGCATTCATCTCGTTTGTTTTCACAAGTGCAAAATTACAGGACATATATGCTAATGTTTGAACTTCCCAATCGTTGCAAAAAAACCATGTGCATTAAACCCAGGTTTTTCCGACTGTTGTAGAGGAGATTTTCAAATTTCTAAATCAGAAATAGTAATTTGATAAAAAAAAAAAAAACTGAATTGCATCGATGATAAAAAAAAAAAGAGAAAAACAAAATAGCATCTGAAATGAATAAAAACTGAATCGCATCGATGATCAATCACAACAATTAACTAAAACTCTAGTCAGAAATCGACATATTCCAATTTGCATGGAGACTAAAAGCCCTAGAAAGAGAAAAATGGTGAGGGACAGAGGGAGCTTGCAATCTCTCCCATCGCAAATGCCTCATCTTGAAGGATGATGCATTTGTGCTTTTCTCCTTCGGGACTATCACCACTTTGAAATCAAAGAACTTGAAGAACCAATCTTTGGGACTTCCGCTTATTCCCTCATTCTCTGAAATGCAAAGAGAGTTTTTTCACTTCGATTTCTATTTTTATCTGACAAGAGATTATACAAGTTGAGTTGAATCCTCTAAGAAATGTAGGGAGTTCCGTAGAGAAAGAGCTCTAATCAACAATCACCTTTCATAACTTGTAAGTTGTGAGATCTCTCACTTTATTAGTCAGAAAACTCAGTTTAAGTGTCTGCCAGGTTGAGATCTTGCATGTCGCAGGTAGCCGCAGTCAACAATCGTGCCTTTATCTCATAGAGTTCTATAGAGAAAAATGGGAAAGATCGAGCAAATGGCATACCTGTTTCTCTCGATAGAATGAAAAAGCAAAATTTACTTCGATTTTTTCAAAGAAAATTTTTGTTTGCATAATCGAGGGAATCTCTGACAAGAATGCAGATTTCCATCGATTGTTGGGTTATTTTTGTCTTTTTACTAAACACGGAAAAAGTTGATCGGGGTGCATAAATGTACCGAACCGTCATCTGCACTCTTTCCAAACGGAGCCTTACGCTAACCAACCGGTTTGAACAATTTTTTTTAAACATCACACCTAAACTTCATTAATTCTTTTAGTAAAAAGCCCTTTTATATAAAATAACCTATTACTATTACCTGACCTAATCAAGTAATTATTGATTACTGATCAACACTCTACCTTCCCAATCTTTAGAGGCACACTACCGTCCCTGCACAGTGGTAGTAGATTGAGTTGAGCCATGAATGAATGAATTGTTGCCATTTGGTCTGGAGATAGGATTAAAGAGAGGTTTGGCGCACAAAACATAGTAGCTGCTAGTCGGATGATGCCGATCAAAGTGCAGAGGTCCAGTAGTGTTGCTATTTTCATTGAACAGGGTTTATCCAATGTATGAAGTATGGATCTTTCTTAATGCCGTGATCAGATTAGATTACAACTTACAAGGAAGCATACTATTAGTATTGCCGTCACTTAAAGGAGACTGCGGAAAAGAAGGCACCATTAGCGGAACTCAGATTCAATCTTCTTAATGCCGTGATCACATCTTGCATACAGTAAATTGCAGCTGTGTATTAGGAACATTTTCCCATGAAAAAACGGGTTCAAATCAGCCCCCTGCCCCCACAACGTCTCACAGCACATTCCCGCTGTTGTGGAGAGTTGATTTGGTGGTCTCTGAAAAAACATATATTCCCAATAATCATGCATAAAAATCCCAAAAATGATGTTTCTATTTCGATCATTTACTTTCTCTATTAAAAAAGATTTTAATCAGCATTTAAAAATTAGTTATAAAAATGGCGCATGCAATGAAGTTTATAACCTGAATATGATTGCATTTGTAACTTGTAAGTTAGAAACTTGAGTGTATATATAAAGCAATGTTTTAAAAACCGATCTGGAGGCCGAATCATTTTTTACCTCTGGGTGATGGGTCATTGGTTCGGCCATCTGGGTCAAACGGGTCAGACCATCCCACATGTATTTAAAGTAAATATATAAATATGTATATATAATGTGTGTATAAATATATATTTTATCGATAAATAATGTATAATCATGTTTAAGATACGTTATATGCATTTTTATATTTAATTAATGTTTTTAATTCAGTTTTCAGTTTTTATTTTTCATAATTATAAAAATATTAACAATTACAATTTGAAGCTAAAAAAGGATGTTTTTTTTTGCTAAAATAATGGGGTAAAGTTCAAAATAAAAATTAAAAAAAAATCATCCCAATCAGACGTCAGAGTGCAAAGTTTTGGCCTCCAAAAGTTTACATGCATCGAACGTACAACCCGCAATCCGGTGACCAGATCGATTGAACCAGTGGTTGAACCAAACAGGTCAGACAGTTCCTGACCAAGTCAACAGTTTTTAACTGTCTCACAGATTTTAACTGAACCAAACCTAGAATCCTAATCGGGTAATGATTCAAATGGTTCAACCTGCTGAATCAATGGCGGGTTGAAAACACTGATATAATTAAAGCTTGTACACGTTAAAGAACATGACCACTGACGATTTTACCCTTTTAATTCTTCCTTATTCAGATTTACGCTGCAAACAATGTGAGCCTTGAGTGTTCACAGCATCAAATGCAGAAATCAAGCTGCACTAAATATCTACTTATACATGCGGAAATGTTGAGATGATGCTACCGACCCTCTAAAGTTGTAATGGTAACATCGTTCTTAGAGCATATCATTTGGTTCCTTTGAAACGATTCTGTTTCAGAGGAAACCAGCCTCTCTATAAACCCAGGCTGTTTTGGTGTAGGAAGATCTGCAATTTCACTGCTAAGCATGGACATTATGGAAGACACAGTTGGTCTATCTTTTGGGAATTCTTGAACGCATAACAGTCCCACACGGATACATCTCAGTACCTCCTCCTCAATTGACGGTGGTTCGCATAATATTGTTGGATCGATTAACTCCAAAATCTTCCCTTCGTTCCATAACGTCCATGCCTGAAACGAGCACATCAGCTTATCAGATACAAAACAAATACGCTTTTTATCGAGAAAAAAAAAAAAAAGATATTAATTTGCATTAATCTTACATGTCCCAGAAAGCTCGAGCATTCCTGCAGATGATAAAAGCTACCATTTTTTCTCCCACTTACAATCTCCAAAAGCAGAACCCCAAAGCTAAAGACATCGGATTTCTCAGAAAATCGCCCTTCCATGGCATATTCAGGAGACATATAACCACTGCATTCAATTGTTTCAGTCACAATTATGAGTAGAAAGTATTAATTTCTTCAATTCTTTGTAAACCTGTGAATTCACAGAGATCTGAGTAACCGAGGACTAGCTACTTACTATGTCCCAACCACCCTTCTGGTACTTGCTTCATCTTCAGTGCCTCCAATTATCTTCGCCATGCCGAAGTCCGAAATTTTGGGATTAAGCTCTTCATCCAATAATATATTACTTGCTTTCAGATCTCTGTGAATAATTTTTAATCTGGAATCTCTGTGAAGATAAAGGAGTCCTCGGCCAATCCCTTCAATGATACGGAGACGTTTATTCCAATCTAGAATTGTTCGTTTGGTTGGATCTGATATAAATTTCACAAAACAAGTAAGTTATTTCATGGTAAGAAGAATATATTTGGTTTTCATATAAAAAATCATATAAAACCTAACGATGATGATCTAGTAGTTGAATTGGTCAGTGGATTGTAATTGAGTCGAATTGAGCCAAGTATTAGGCGAGTTCACATCTGCTCCCCACAATACCCCACAGCACATCCCCACCTTGTATTGAAAATATTTCCTGATAATGTCTCATCATCTTCCATAGTTGTTATCGGGAGATATTCCTAATAGAAGGTGGGCATATTCTGTGGGGCATTGTGGAGTGCAGATGTGAATTTGTATTAGGCTGCTTAAACCTTGATCTAGCATCAAACTTGATTTAGTTTCATGTATTTGGTTCAAATTCAAGTTGAATTGATACTTGCGAGTTATTTAACCTCGGCTCAACCTGAGTCAATTATAAAAAAATTAGTATTAAAAATTATAAATAACTGAATATTAAGTGTATAAAAAACGATGTTTATTAATATGATAAGTACAAATATATTAAAAATGTTTTTTTAATAATCTTGATTATATTTGCAAGCCATTCGAGCCGAGTATTACAAAGGGAGAACTCGGTTCGACCAACAATGTAACTAGAGTCGAGCTAAACTCAAACTCAATTATTAGGGCTGTTCATGGGTCGGGTTGGGTCAGTTTATTGTGGTTTTTCCAACCGACCCGACTTGGTCGGGTTACCTGACATAGAAACCAAAACCGACCCAGTGTTAAGCAAAACCGACTTGGTCGGTTTGAGTCGGGTTGGGTCGGTTTGGGTCGGTTTCGGTTCTAAGTTCATCCCTGTGATAAAATCTTGCTAATTTTAAAAACAGTCATAAATTGAACATCATTTCAGCCATCTCCTATGATAAAATTTAAATGAAAAGTTAATCACAAAAGTTGTTCATTAATCACTATTCACTAATCCAAAGTTTCTTGCAACCATTCAAAAACTAGGTGGCCTAATGGGCTTTGAAACTTCATGTTTGAACTAGGAACTAAGTCGGTTCGGTTTGGGTCGATTTTGGTTTTCTTGTGTGAAAACCGAAACCTGCCCGAATCATTGGTTTAGGAATTTGCACAACCCAAAACCGATCCGTGCCGATGAAAACCCGCCCAACTCGAGTTGAGTTGGTCCGGGTTGATCGGGTTGGGCCTTCTTATGAACAGCCCTATCGATTACTTTGAACCGAGTTTGAGTATTTAGTAAACCAAGCCGGCCCGAATATCATAAATACAAGTAGCCTCAACTCTCTTACACAGTAAGCAGGGAGAGGGACGCCGGGTCAACAACTGAACTAGAACTATTGGGTCATCGACATGAAAATCAACATGCACTTAAAGTGCATGCGTGTGTTTGATCATTTTTCAAACAAAGAAAATGAAATGAAAACGAACAAATAAAGGTTATTTCCAAGATCTAACCGAAGAGAATAACATCTAGACTTTTGTTGGGCATGTATTCATATACCAACATCTTTTCCTCCCCTTCAATACAGCAACCAAGGAGTTTGACAAGATTTCTATGCTGGAGCTTAGAGATGACTGCAACCTCATTCTTGAACTCTTCTAACCCTTGCCCAGAGGTTTTTGAGAGTTTTTTCACAGCTATTTCTTGGCCATCTGGCAATCTCCCCTGAGTCAAGCAATCAAAATAATTTATAAATTAATTACCAGATTTACTTCACCATTGTGGTTTTGAAAACAATCTTTCCTTACCTTGTAAACTTCACCAAAACCACCTTTTCCAAGCTTGTTTCCGAGGTCAAATTTGTCTGTTGCAATTGCAAGGTCCTCATATTCAAATACCGGTAGATCTGTGCATTTTCCTCGTTGTGTTATTATGCTATCTTCATGCAATACTCCGTCTGATACTTCTTTAGATACCTCTGCCCCATCCACGCCTTTCTTCCTCAGCCCTGGTCCCAGATTCAGTAGTAAGGAACAAAGGAAGTATTAATTTAAATATTAATATGGCCCAGTTTTGGTTTGGGTGCTCAGTCGAGCACAAGAACAGGAAATCTAGCCACCATATACGATGCATCGGGACCCAATTCTCCAAGGTTGTGTCTGGATTGGGGTAAACCTGGATTTAGTGGCAGATTTTCACCAGGGGTCGATTTTTAGATTCCTTTAGTTGATGCTCATTTCTCAGCTTTGTCAGATACTGTGAAACGAGAATTTTCAGCCTACAAATTCTGCGTTCTAACACAGAAGTCAAAATGCTGGATTACAGTAGTCATTTCATCTCCAGAATGGAATTCAAGTCCAATTCAGCTACCACAAGTGATTCCCATTTCCCACTTAAGGAGTCTAGAAGGTCATATTCTGGTGTCCTGAGTCCTGACCCAGAACCAAAGCCTTGTTGACCAGATGGCTGCGACCATTTATACTTTTTGGGTGGAAGTGGAATGGCCAAACTCTTAGGCAGGGAGCCGGGGACCATTTGATTTGGTGGTTGTCCCAACTCCCAAGTCCTAACCTACTAACCAAAGGTCCCACACCGCGTGCGTGCGACACATTGGGGGTTGAGCTGCGCCACTTTAATGGGGAATTTCTGAACTCTTAAGTCTCAACATTGAAATTCAAGAGTTTATTTGAACCTCTAATAATCAAGATCTTACCCCTTTGTTTAGCCATCCGCCTCAACACACAACAGGCTAAGACACCAAGGGTAACAGCTCCTACGACGATGACCACCGTGATGATAACTGCTTTTGAATGTTTCCTGCCTGCATTAAAAAAAATATATATGAAAAAGAAGGTACAGACAAAATATAACCAAAATGGATGAACTTCCAGTTATTGAGGTAATTTGTTGAAAACATAGTCACTAAATAACCCGTTTAGATGCCCTGCACAAATAATGGAGTTATTTCATATTTCTGGGAGAGAAAAAATTGAAATAGTCTTCAAGAAACTGAACTTTATTCCTTTAAATCGTAAACAACCGACAATGAATGGTGAGCTTCTGTTCTAGAATGGAAAGGGAAACCAGAATGGAACAAAGAAGTGCATAGGATGGTTTTTGTTTAATGGGTTTCAGAAAAGGTTGTCCTTTCATTCGACAAGTAATGCAAAGGTATATATCGAAAGGCATTGGAAGAAGAAGAAGAAGAAGAAGAAGAAGAAGAAGAAGAAGAAGAAGAAGAAGAAGAAGAAGAAGAAGAGGAAGAATTCCATACCAAATTCGGAATATGCCAAACGAATGTGAAGTTCCACCCCGCCAGTGGAGAATTTCTGGGTATCTATTAAATTTCCACTCCAAGACATGCACCCTATGTTGATGTCAAATGCATAAGCGACACAGGAGCAGTTGCTTAAACACTGTTTCTCACAATCATTCGCATCAGCTGCAGCGGACCAGTTTGCAGAATCTGGAACTTTCATCATTTTCAGCTTCAAAAATTCATCTGTTTTCTCCTTTTCACTACTGGTGTTATTTCTTTCACATTGTAACTCTGTCCTGCGCATGCACCCACTTGACCAATTTCCCTTAGTCCATTCCTCTACGGACTTTGGGATGAATCCCTTCAAGCAACTACAGATTGGCGAATCCAATGCATTACAGCTCCCAAATGCTCCACACTTTCCATAGATATCACACTCTGTTCTTGGGGCTAACCAGCCAATGGTCCAGTTCTTTTTCTCTTGACCCCAATCATACTCTACTAACTTGCCTTCAGAATCCAGAACAAATCTCACCAACAAGAAAGGTAAACTGACATAAGAGAATGTCAAGTGGGCACTTCCATCTTGAGCATCTCTATCCATCTTGAATCCGTCGAGGTAAACAGAGTACATGTCGGGCACCCCTAAAAAGATCCGATTGTTCCATGGCCCACTTCTCCAGTGTGGGAGAGAACCATTCCAGACAAACACCTCAGGAATGTTCAAGGGGACAACACCTGCAGTGAATCTACCAGTGGAAGGATCTGAATCACCTTTCTTTGATGTTAGCAGTTGCTTCTCAGCCGTCTTTGTGCTGGTACCAATCTTCATCTTGGGCAAGAATGTATCGCAAGGGTGCTCAAAGCTCTCCCACAACACCGACCCATTGTTGTCGCCATCTGTTGAGCTTCCTTGCTGCAAGACTAGATTCCCTGAATCCAAGAGCTTGGCACTAGAATTTTGTGCAATAGTTGAAATATTTGTAGACCAGAAAATCTTTTCCTGTCCATCCACCACCACAAGGTTTCCATCATTCGCAATCCTTATCACCCCAGATGAGTCCGGTAACGGGTTATCTCTGTTGGCAATCCATGCAATTGTCTGCTCAGGGATGTTGTTATACCAAATCCCGACATACCGACTAGTAGAATTCCCGGTGGTGAAGAAGCCTAATTTGAAAAAACCCCCAGCAGAGACTAGACTCTCTGGATCCGTTATGTTTTGGGTTGGTGTAATTATGTCTATGGTACCGGAAGAACGTCTAACAGAGAGAACGAAAAGCACAGTAAGAAGAGCTCTCAAGAATCTGCCATTGCTAAATTTGCTTGTATCCATGATCTCCCAAAGATGATGCTTGTTGCTGGTCCGATTGTCGGAGACTGAAGATTAGAAGACCTATATAACTCGATGTAGCTAATCTCAATCTCGTAAGGGAAGGGGTATTTACCCAGATCCTAGCTTGACCACTTTTGCTAAGCAGACTTATTAAAGAAGAATCTCTGCAGCTTAATACTATAGTAGTTTATCCAAATATAGCTTATTGCCCTGTCACGGTATCTCCCCTGGAATATTATAGATAAATCCAGACCATGGCCCATTACAAAACTATTATGTATTGTACAAATACATACAAAATAATACAAAATGTAAAATTTTGCATTCTACTTATTTGTAATTGTATTCCTTCTAAACTGAGCCTAAAAAACTTTCAAGTTTGCAATAGAATAATAAAAAAATGGACTTATTTGGTAGCAATTGGAAATTGTGATGTGAATAGATAGAAGAATAGTATCGGCTTTTTTTTTTTTTTTTTTCTTTTAGTTTGATACATTTCACAGGTTAATAAAATATATTGTTTACAATATAATTCACCAAGCAAATCCATGAAATTAGATTTAGATAGTATGCTGCTGACGCTGGTAATAGACCAACAAGGCCGCATCGACACCACATACTGGGAAGTGATAACAAGACTACAGACAAAATGGAGTTGACTTTACAAGAGGATACATTCAGATTCAGATATCGTCTTGGGGGAGTTCATTACAACAAATCCTTTGTCATTACAGGTAGAGAAGAAAGAAGGGGCAACAACTCAAGTCCTTCAATATCTTTTGGGGGTTTGGAATGCGAATGTATTTCACTCGTAGGTTGATGTGGATTGTAGAACACATTCTTTCCTTTCCGACCCAACTTTTTTTCTTTTGTGGAAAGGCCTTTGCAATTACCTTTTTTTTTAAGGCCTTTCCCACTACTTTGTAGTTGGGGGAAAGTTCTTAAGAAATTTGTGAATTTTCATCCTCAACTTCCCTGTTTTTTCTTACTATCAAATCAAACATTGTCATAGGTCTTTGGTTCTTTTCATCGTTGAGGACTTTTAGGGTCGGGTTGCACAAGGCATCAGAATGAAAGTAAAGATTGTGTACACACACGGCAACCAGTCACACATGGGAAATATTTCTCTAAGGTCACATATTTGTGGGTGCGGGTAAATTTTTTAAATTATCTTATACTTTAGTTAATTGATTAAGTATACCTTGAAAATTAATTAATACTATCCTTACTGTTTTGACAATTGATTAATACTTACTTTGCTGTTGGTATTCATTAACGGAAAAACAAAAAAAGACTATTTTACTCTTTATTTTCTTCAAATTTTCAAAATAAAATAAGGAAAAGGGTTGCTGGTAGCAGTCTAACCGGAGAAAGAGAGAGAAGATGGAAGAGCTTGGAACCGAACATGACAGTGGCGACTTCTTCTGGGTTTTTTGTGATGATCGTCGTCTTCGTCACAGCTCTACTTATCTCGTCTTCTACCACCGTTGATGCCAACGGAGAGTACCGATTGGGTTGGCTGCCGACGAGATCGACCTACCAAGGCTCCATGGAGGAGTGCATGGCCGGTGGCAATGAGTTCGAAATGGATTCCGAGATCAACCGCTGCATTCTAGCAACCGGCTAGTACATTAGCTACGGAGCCCTGCAGCACAACACTGTACCCTGCTCCCGACGCCGTGCATCTTACTACAATTACAAACCCGGAGCTCAAGCCAATCCCTACAACAGAGGTTGCAGCGCCATCACTCGGTGCCGGAGCTAGTTCTGTATTTTCCTTTCACTTATTTCTTCGTTCCTTATTCTGGGATTTAATGGGGGTTCTGTTAATTGTTATACAAGAGAAAGAGGGGAGGAGGAAGCTGGTTGGGAGGGGGGTGTTTGATATGAATTATATTGGAGGTGTTATTATAACTATAATTGGCTGCTTCTGTAAAATATTGGAGGAAGAGCGACGGTGCTACGCAGTGACTGAAGATGGGGACGCCATTGCCGTTGGCTCGATTCAGCATCAACTGATGCCAGGTATCCATGCTGAGGTAATATACATTGACGCCGTAACAATGTCCTTGCCGAGTTTGCCTCTTGTGTTGTTGCTGCTCGTCGTTACCTTCAACCGCTAATTCCATGCTGGGTTCAGCAGACCTGGTGAGGGCTTGAACGAGACAAACAACCTGCTCGGCAGTGCCGGTTCTTTGCCTTTCTCTATAAAAAGATGGGTGCTTGAGCAGGTTCCACCATCTCCGGCAGACAAACTTAATTTCCGAGTGGAATCGATAGGGTACGCGAATGAGACATTCCAACGCTATTTGTCGGGCAGGCCGGGGATCAGACTTGGGTTCTGCTGCTTACCCAGCCTTGCTTCTCCCGTGTTTATTCTTCCTTCTTCAAAATTTTCTTCTATTTCAGACAATCCAACAAACAGTATCGCTTAGGTGTTCGAGAGAGAGAGACTTAGAGAAACGCATGCCAACAGAACCTATAGAAGTGAATTGGGTTACAGGAGGAACAAACGGAATGAAGGGGAGAGAGGTGAGGGTAAAGTTGGGTTTTAGAAAAATATGTCATGAATTTTGACGGAATATTAACGGAATTTAATAATAAGGGTAGAGTTAGTAAATTATTAGAAACAGTAAGGATAGGGTTACTCAATTTTTAAACAGTAAGAATAGTTACTCAATTAACTAAACCATAAGGGTAATTTAAGAAATTTACCCTATTAAAAATAAGTGTTTATTTGAATAATCATTTATTTGCCTTTAATATCCAACTTTTTCAATTGTTTATTTAAAAAAAAAAACACCTATTTCATATTGGGCGTTTGATGGTCTTTTTCTCTACTAAGCACTTAAATAAACATTTGTGACTATTTTGTCCTTCATTATCTCTCAAATTTATTAAAACACACTTTTATAAAAGTACTTTTCTAAAAACACTTTTATGAAACTTTTTATAAAAGCACTTTTACAGTACTTTTATAGTACTTCGTAAAAGTACTTTTATGAAAACATTTTAATAAAAAGCAATTTTAACAAAGCACATTTATAAAAGTACTTTTATAAAATTCAAGTAGGGATAGTTTTATAAGTGGTATTTTAAAATTCAACTAGGGATAATTTTGGAAGGAGAAAAATTGAATAAGTGCTTATTATATAAGCACTTAAAAAAGGCTGAAAATTAGGCTTAAAAAATAAGCACTTGTAAATTCATAGACATATTCCCTATGTATGACTACCCGTCTCCAGTATAGTAGACACCAATTATGCCAATGTTCCATGCATATGAGACCCATATGAAGTGTAGCTTATGTGGTTTCCATGTGTACGGGAGCATTCATGTGTTTTCTCGTAATTGGTTACATATAAAGATGGCAATTTTTACCCTATCCAGTGGGTACCTTCCCTGTTGGGGTAGGATTTTTTGCTTGAAGGGTGGGTTTTGGGGCAAAAACGAGTTTTAGAAAGGTTTTGCATTTTTATGCATGAAAGAGGGTTTGGATTCTCAAAATCCAACCCGCTATGATTGGGAGGTGGATGCTAAACCCACCCGGTTGCCATCCTTATATTTATCACAGTAGCTTCAGAACCCTTCTCTCCCTCTCTGAGCTGTAACTTGGACAATTTTTTAAGAAAAAAAAAAAAAAAAGTGGTTTGCACGAGATTTATGCATGTGGTAAGCTGTGATTTCATATAAATGATGAATGCGGTATGGTTATTTTTATTAGTCAATGGCTACCAAACCAGCCCCGAGTATTATTTTTGACATAGAAAAGCAGTAATTTGAAAGCCATTGTAATGCATCATCCATCAGCATCAACGAAAAAAGAGATTACGGTCATGGGGATATTATGACTTTTAAGCAATTAAATTAAGACCCAAATCAAATAAGTAATTTTCTTTGAACGCTGCTTAGGCCCAAGGCCCATATGCCTAGCACGAGAAAAGGCCCAATTACCCAAAGTTCGATCATCAGGATTTGATTAAGTTGAATGTTAAGCCACGGAAAGAGTTTTGATTTAGGTTTGGCTTTTTTTTCTTGTTTTGGTAAGCAGAGTTTGGAAATAGATTATAAGCTCCCTTTTACGCCTGCTGATACATGCATGTAGATTTGGTGGCTAGAAAAAGGATGTCCACCAACATTGCCCTTGACTAGCATCATGTACAAAGTCTTCAACCTTCTTAGGGGGTTAACTGTTAAAATTAAATATCATTTGTCATAGGTAGAAACTAAAACATGAGCCAACTTCTTTTTTCTTTTCATTTTTTCATTCTTTTCCAAAATTGAAATCCGATGAACCTTAGGTTCGGTTTGGAAGAAGTATAAATGCAAATATGTAGAGTGTAAAACCTTATGTTTTGTATTATTTTGTATATATTTGCATTTATACTCTTCTCAAACTGAGCGTTAGCTTTACCCCTCTTCTTTGTATGATATTTTTTAACCCCAAATTTTACACTAAGTTGAGGTTGAGAGGTGGTTACCTTAAAATTTTATTAATTAATCTGAGTAAAAAATCTCATAAATAGAGAGGAGGCACAGCCCACCTTTGTCCCAGAGGCAAAGATGTTCAAGTGCTGCCTAAACCACTCAACCCACGCTACCCAGTATATATCATCATGGGTCAGGCCGGGCTAGGCATAACTTTCTCTTTATAAACGAAAAATCATTAGTCCAAACCTAAGCCTGCCCCGACCATCAATCGGACCTAGATCTTGAGCCTGAGCCTGTCCTTATATAAAATTCAAAATCAGGGCCCAAACTTGAGGCCCAACTTTGATAGGTATTTTTAGAATATATATATATATATATATATATATATATATATATTATATTTCTATTATATATTTAATATTATCAAACCAAATTCGGGCTCAAACTGGGCTTATTTGGAGAATCCAGAATCCAACCTGAAAAATAAATGGACCTGATTTTTAGAGCCCATACCTGAACTATGGACTTACAATTTTATCCAAACCAGATTTAGGACGGGCTGGGCCACG